GGTGACGGACGGGCACACCCGCTGTTGGTGCCACCACTGTCCGTAGCGCCCCGGTCCAGCTCAGACGCAGTGTCCGGCCTGAGACTGGTGCCCGCTGCAGAGGGTGAGCCCCTGGGCGGCATCTGGAGCCTGCTGCCGGGTTCTGAGGCCGTGCACAGGCTGGCGTGGGTGTCCTCTGCACATGCTTCTTGAGAGCTTCAGGTACCAGACAGGCACTCACTGCTCTGAGTTGTGTGAGAGGAGCCTTGGACACCATTTCATCCCAGTGAAGTACTCGCAGTCCCTTGGGTTCCATCCCACCTGGGTCAGCCCTTCCTGCTTTTGAACTTAAACAGTTCAAGAATTAGGTAATAGGGAGCATTTGATCCCAGACTGGCCACACTATGACCTGAGATGCTCCTGAAATAACATCAGTGTATCCAGCAGTTGGTAGATGCTCTGAAGAGTAGTTGGTAGAACAGTGGAGGATTAGGGCAGCTACAGAATATCAACCAGGCTGAGAAAGATGTTCACACAGTGTCACTCTTGCCAAGAAGTTTGGATAATTATCTCTGTCTTCATTAGAGAAGAGACAATTAAGAGGAGATTTCATCTTGTTACCTAGAATATTTCCCTTCACAATAAGTGATTCTAGTATAATTACCCTTACTATATATATTACTTAATAATAATACAATTAATGTGTATCCATGGGACTGTTGGAAGGGGAGTTCTTTAGCTATAGTGGCATAAGTAAAGCAAAATAATTTCAGCATTTAGGATAACTATTAGACAAACATAAGTAAGAAATTAATCACTGTGCTATCCTACCTTCCTTTCACACCCCAAATGTTTTTAGTAAGGTTTTAAAGCGTGCTAGAGAGATAAATTTGGATGCTGGGAAAAGACAACAGGGTATGTTGGGTAGGAAGGGGTATTTGGAATGAACTGCTTTCTGAACCTCTCAGTTCTGGCATGAAGAAAAAAATACCTTACCTTTTCTGTGCCTCAGCTTCTGCAGAGTAATATGAGAATAATTATACCTATCTTCTCTCTTGTATGTTCTTTTAGATCTCTGCAAAAGCTCTAAGCATAGTTATTTGTAGTTAATTGACTCTTTAGAAAAAAAAAGCTTTTGAAAATGTAAATTTAATACAGAGATTATATTGTCCACTATTAAATTGTGCACTGATTTTTTCAATTTGATCCCCGTATTAATTTATTGGACACTATCTTAACAGGAAGTGGCATGGTAAGATTTCCCAAAGCACAGCCTAGGGATAAATTAATTCCTTGTCCTAAAATGCAGCTGCAGCTGTGCTTTCCCTGTAGAGTCAGGGCAGAAGTAAATAACTTGAAAATTTTTTGTTAATGAGCTCATCTTGTCACTTATTTTTACTCTCTGTAAAAACTCGGAAGTCTACCCAGTCATTTCACTGTGATGTTGGTATCAGAGTTCGTGTTCCAGTGCTTTGTCCCTACAGGATCTTTTTCATCTGTAGTGCTCCAAAACCCTCACAAAAGTGGTAAATGTCCTCTATTATCGTTTTACAGATGGAAGAACACAGGGACAGCAGAGCTAGCAGTACAGTCCAGCTCCCCTGGTTCCTGGTCCAGTGCTTGCTTTGTTAATTGCGCTGTGTTCGTATTTTGCAGCCTTGCCATTATTAAATGTATTTATCCAATTTCTAATTGTCAGCACGGCCCAAGGAGTGTTGGGGCCGAGGAGGCCCAGCTCAACAGCATAGGCTCCCATTTCCTCATATGAGAAGTAACTGACATGGGAAATAGGGAAGCATAAATCTGCTTTTGGAGGTTTTAACATGCCTGCATGTGATACTGAAATTAAAAGTGTTTACTGCTTTGTCTCTGGAAATGTTCAGCAAAATCTTTCAGAAATAGAAAAAAGGGTTAAAGGAGCGGTGACAGCATAGCTCAGCACAAGCTTCTAGTACTGGACAGAAGGAATGTCTCTTGGGATGGAAAGCTCTTGCTACTGGAGGGATTTCTCAGAACAGAAACTGAGCTTAGTGTGTCTCAGAGTCCTGCCCCCACAGACCCGTAATGAGAAGGGAATGTGTAACTTAGAATTCTGCTGAGGAGGGTAATTGTCTCTGTGTTGGCTTTTCGTGCTCCAGTGAGTACACATGCTGCACGGTGAAACCTTTTCTGTCTTAGAAATAGGACGCTGCTTCCTGTTGATCTGTGTGAACCTTTAGCTCTGGCATCTTCTCCAACAAACTTCTGGCAGTTGTACCATAAAGTTTGTTGCTCTCTTCGGGTGGCAGCATGAAAATGAATTAGTGATTTTTTTTAACGTGAGATGCCTGATAAATCAGGCTTAACTAATTGCAGCCAGGTTCTTGCCTTTCTTTCCTTCTTTTATCATTATTGTATGCTTTCTCCTCTCCTTTCAGGTACTAGAATTTGATGTTTGTCTCTGCATTCCTCTCTGACAAGCCCACATGTGCCCCTCTCTTCATTGGCAGTATGATCTTCACCTTCTCAGAAACCACAAGCTCAGAGCTATCTAATAAAGCTACTGTGGGTTTCTGCATGCCAGCATATGGCTAGAAACTTTAATGACTTTAACATATTCCCTGAGGAGATACATATTTTACTCATTTGTTTGCACCCTCTGACTGGACAGGACACAAGGAACTGGAGTGTACTGGAGGAGCTGGATTAGGAATACACTAAAAATCTGCCTGTAAAAACTGCCTAAATGCAGAACTCATATTCTTTTATTTATCACTCCCTTTGTCTTTCTGTGTGAATGTCTAACAAAATACAGTTAGAGTTTACCTTCTATTGACTGTTCTCAATCTCTCCTCTCTTTTTATTCTGATGCAGGTAAAAGATTTTAGGAATTTCTTTTTGAACATCCTCTTTCTTCCTAACTTGGAGTCTTACACTTATTTTTTACTTTTGCTGCCTTTTTCTAGGACTCCAGCTGCTAGATCCTTCCCCTCTAAGATCAGACAGAGTCTCAGTTTGAGTCCACTAGGAAGATGCATCTGGTACATCCATTGAAAAAAATCATTGTTCCAAAAGAAGCCTGCTCAAGCCAAGAAAATGTGCTTTCAGTTTTTCCTGGTATTTTCTGATGTTAAAATCGGATGGCCAGGTTTCACATTTAAGCACTGTTGCCAGAGCCTATACAAATTTATACTTAAGCAAGAGTGTTAAGATGAAGTATAACATTTAATCACTACAACGAGGAAACCAGAGCTTCCACATGAAAATGATATTCTAGTGGTACTATAGAGAAAATTCTGAAAGAGAGCTTCAGGATTTAGCTTTATCATTTTTAAGGGACTGGAAATGAAGAGCAAGTTTGGGAGGAGAATGTTAATGAAAGTTATGGCAGAATTAAATTCACATTGTGTATGTATAAAAAAATATGGAAAACGCCTCAGGAGTGCAGTAGAAAATTGGTGCAGCCATGGAGA